CGCTTCGAAAGTCTAGCCGCGAAATCCGCCTCGTTCTGCATAGGTATAGGGGCTGCAGAAGTGTGAGCGTTCGGGTTCACTCACGATGAAATTTGAAGTTTCGACTGCATAGAGGCCTCCTCAGATGGCCTGTTTTCTCAAGCACGCGTGCGCCCCATCAAAATGAGAAACCGCGCGTCTGGAGGGGGGATATAGAAGGTGAGACTGAGGCAGCGGGGAGGGGAGGGGAGACGACCTGGGTCAGTGTTGGAGGTCACGGCGAGGGAGAGAGACTAAAGGAGCGAAAGCTCGTTGTCGTCGCAGGGTAGGAGGCCGTAGAAGGAGTGGGCAGGGCGGTAATTGAGCAAACCATGTGAGGGAATTGTTGTAGAGGCAAGTTGTTTCACAACCTCTGGTCGCAGACTGAACCACTCGAAGTCCAGCCAGAATTCGAGGGAACCACGGTTTCTGTAGGGGGGCAGAAGAGAGGTTCAGGGATTAAATTCCGGGCACTGTGTGGCAACGAATGACTTTTCGAGGCCAGAACAGCCAATCAAAAAATAAATAAGTATGACAATACGGCTCCTCAGTGAGGCCTGGTAAAAGGCGACTGTACGCTCAATTCCAAGGAAATTTGGGTTCGTATTAAGGTAAAGTTAGAGTTCTCTTGAGAGTGTGCATGAAGATTAGGGTTTGGACAGTGGAAAGTTTATTTTTCCCATAATTTAGTCCATAATCGTCTGTATTAAGGAGAAGTCAAAAAAGAAAAGCTGGGGACCCACGGATAAGCCGGACCCCTCGCATATGTGTCAAGCAGCGGCAGAAAACCGGCGAGAATCGTGTCAGGACTTTTAGCTAGTACCTAGGATGCTAGTATAGTAGATTAAAACATAAAGTTGTGCAAAATCAGTTAGTGCATAAAAGACGACATGCGAAACCCTGTCTGAATGAAATTTCCACTCCGCGGATATCGCAGAGCATTGAGCTGAGTGGGACGGACTGATTTGTAAAAACTGACCGTTCGCTCAACGAACCTCACTCGAAAAAAAACATTAAAAAATGCAGACGAAGGACATACGCGGGAGTAGATTGCAGGGTATTGTACACGAAACGCTTGGCCCATTTTGAAAAGTTCTTGATAAGCTTCAGGTTGACGGTAGGTCGCGACAGTCTCTCATAGCCGGATTTCTCTCTCATGGCATCTGGTCCTTCCTCAGAGGGGGTTTCCGGCTGCGAATCACCGGTAGTTGCCGGTTGCGGATTCTCGTTTGTGGTTGCAAGTTGCTGCTGCTGTCTCACACTCGCAGTCATCCTAAAACAAATCAAAACGAAGTGAACAACAACGTTAGAAGTGTGAAACAGGCAGAATTTGGCAGAACTGTGTCATGACGCCAATCAAACATGCCTACCCAAATCAAATAAGTAGGGCTGTAGCAGTAATAAAACTTCCAGTTTACACAGACAGTACTCGCCCATATCAGCGCATGCCATTCAAGCTTTCTTTATCGGGTTTTTATCGAGTAGCAGGAACAACTTTTGCGAATAACTTGCAAGGGGGACCACTAAAAGTATAAATCGTCTGTTTCGCCCAGATCGTATCTTCAAGTGAGATTTCGCATCAAGGGATTTTTACGCGATTCTATTTGTCCAGTTGTTCGATGAAAATGTCATAGCAGGCCTCAGTTAGTCAAGTCAAGTTTATGAAAGGAAATGTAGGCATCCCGCGTTAGCTCTTGCTTCTAATGGAATCACCAGCTGGTTGAAAGGCTCGGAGAGTCGGCAAAGGGAAGTGAGAATGTAGCCGACACTGGCAATCGATCCTCACGGTGACTTAGCGCATTTCTCCCTGTAATACATCTGACGCACCTGAATCTACCAAGATTTTTTAATACCCGGCGCCTGAAGGGTTGTTAACCGACGGGATACGTGGTTCAGAGCGTCGTGTGCAGAATGCGCAGATAAGCCGCTAACATCTGTCATCCAGTGCGTCTCTGTCCACCTCCGTTCGTCCGGAGATTGCATTGCCCCTGGCGCAAGTTGGATGAGGTAGAAGAAAGTCCCTTAGAGGCTGTCCAATTCGGTCTCATTAACGCACACGTCACCGGTACTGTGTCCACCCTATGTACCACGCGGTGAATTTCGTTGCTGGCAACGGTCGAACTGTCATGTACGTATGTATGAGTACTTTACGATTACACTGTTGAAACTGGTGAGTTTTGACTCAAATAAGGCGTGTCGATCACCGGAATCATAATTTAATTCGTCTGAACTTTCGGACTCTTACTAGAGTCTATCGTCAGCAATAAAAGCATCAAAGAAAAACAAGCAACATTTATAGGGCGCAGAGGTCAATCAAACGCTATATGGGGGTGGGGAAGGGGCCAATCAACCACCAGTGCCGTCAGTCCGGAGATGCCTATGCAAGGCTATATATGCTGGCGCAAGATCGATAAAGCGATGGACTGTGTTGTCATCCGGTGACCGACACGCCTTCTCCTTCCCTATCTATAAAGGTACCTGGGATGCGAAAATTTGCCTCAATTCATGCATCTAAACTTTTGAACTAGGCCTAAAAGACTTTACTTCCAATGGTGTATGCCAAGTCAACGCATTAGATTCGACTGGGATTAGAAAGGTGACCAGTTGCTACTCTGAGGAAGGGGATAATATTTACTATTTTAAAAGTTCTATTGATATTATGTGAGTAGCAATAAGTTGATACGTGAATTGTCTAGGACTGCAATTCCCCTTGCTTGTCTGCGTATTTATTGGCTGTTGGAAATTGGGGGGAGGGGGGGGGGTCGGTAGCACACCAAAGATAGAGGAATATGTTTACATATTCATTCAGTAACTGTAGCCATTCAGTATTAATTGCAGTCTGGTCTGGTTAGCGATCCTACTATGAGAACTAAACAATACTCAGTTCGGGAATTAACCACTTATCAATAACTCACATGAGGTACGCAAAGACACCGGCGCTCCAAAGATCTGTTGACTGAGAGTAGTGTTCACCTTCTTCCTTTTCGGGAGCTGTAAGGACAATCGAACAAATTGTATCAGGGCAGTTGTACGTGAAAATAAAAAAGAAATGAACTAAAACATGTTGCCACACATTATAAATAATAAAGTCGATTAAAATTTGCCATTTCGAGTATGAGGTCTATAGCAGCTGCTCTAATGCCTTTCTTCTCTGACATCCC